TCAGAGGTAGCTGGCAACTAAACTCTGCCTATGCTGCTAGGGAATGAGCTACTTTGCAGCATCACTGATCTGCTGTCATTTCCAGTCTGCAGAACCTGAGCTTTCAGAGGGCATGCTGTGCTGTGCCAAATTGCAGCTCACGGTCGGACTGCGCACCGCGTCGTGATGGGTGTGTGCTGGGCACTGCTTGCCCCAAATGGCTTTATGACCTGAATAGCCCTTCAAGCAGACACATGACACCCAAATGTGAGCTTGATGGCTATTCCTTGTTCTCTTCATGGTGCAGGAAGTTTAAAGTGTCACCCACCTTTCAGAAAGCACATGTAACTCAAAAAGGGAAGCACCTGGGCCCATTGAGATGCTCAAGGATAAGTCAGCTCCGGGCCGGGAGAGCAGAGTCCTCAGTCCTAGAGATTGGGCTGAGTGTTTCAACATTTTTATCTCTTCCTGCCTGGTGACAGCCACGCGAAATGGGCTCTTCTCATTTCTGTCTTGTCGCCCTCAGTCTCAGGTAGTGACACGGAGAACCGGCATCACTGTCATTGTCACTGTTGGCATTTTGGTCTGGAAAACACTGGGAGCTGTCACTGGGAGATTCTGGAAAGTCCGGAAGCAACCCCAGGTCTGTCCAGGACATCCAGCCTCCCCTTGTGCTTGGGGGGGGAGGGGAGTCTTCAGCTGGGAAATGCAAGCCCAGATGTACAGACTTTGCAAACGGTGTGCAGTTTCAGGTGCTCATTCTAAGAGCCTTAATTCCAAAATGTTGTGTGTCCTGAGAAAGTACCCGAGGCTGTTCTGGTTCTTGGTTCCCTCATCCTCCTCCACAATTGTCTTCTTTCCACTTTACCATGAAAGGTATTTATCTCAGCCATCCGGAATCTTATCTGGAGGGTATGTATCATCCTCCAGGGCACTAAACAAAATAGCTGTTTTATAATCACGTGATGATAAAATAATAGCTACAAATGACAAGGTAGATGGCTCCATTTTTTTGCTATCAAAAAAAAATTTGTAATACATTTTAGTACTTTAAAAACATGTTTTGATACTAGATCACTGTGTACTTTTTCACATATATCTTCAGCCATTCTACTTATAATTTCACTCCTCCCCACTTGTCTTTCCTTCTCCCCTGGTTTATTTTCTCTTTTGTGCTTATCACTATTTGTCATGCTATATTATATATTTTACTTAAAAAAATCTTATTTGTTGTCTGACTCCCTTACCACAATTTAAGCTTTATGAGATAAGAATTTTTGTCTGATCTTGTCTGATTTTGTTCACCACTATATCCTCAGTACCTAAAACAGTGCCTGGTACAAGGTAGGCCCTCAAAACTATCTGCGGAAGCCAGGAATTAAAATAATTGAATGACTTTGCTGTAACCAAAGTCCTTCCATTCTCATATTTTTTCTGTGTACAAGGTTTCTATAAATACAACCAACACTAGCATCACATATTGAAAGTATGTGAGGTACACTATGTCATCCTAGCAATAACTAATACTCATCCATGAATACATGGACCAGTTGAAAAAAAAAAAACACTCCATTTCATTAAGAGGTATCTTCCACTAAATGTTGCATTTTTCATTTAAGTTTTTCTTTGGCTGGGTTATAATTGCAATTATTGGCTATCAACATGACTGAGCAAATGGAAACGTATTACACATATTGATGAATACTTTTATGTTTGCTCAATCATGTTGGTAGGCAATAACTGTAAGTATGACCCCATCCAAAACCAAACTTTAACACTTAAAATCTCGTCACAGGAAAAACATTAAATTTTTATTTATAGGAATAAATCTTAAAAATCTGCAAAAATTCCTTTACACTGAATACAACAAAACATATTGAAAGAAATGAAAGGTGTCTTAAACAAATAGAAGAATAGAAAACATTCATGGATTGTGCAACTTAATGCTATAAAGATATAATTTGATCTGTGGCTCAGTTAATCGATGGATTCAAAGCAATCCCAATAAAACTTTCAGCAGTTTAACCCAAATGCTGATCCTAAAATGTATATGAAAAAGCAAAGACTCAACTCAAGATTAGTTAAGACAATCTGAAATAAGAATAAACCATGAAATTTCCTAATTTAAGACTTAAGACTGATAACGGGGCTATACAAATTAAGAACTTTTATTCATCAAAAAATAACATTTATTGAAAATAAAATTTCAATCTATAAACAATTTTTCATATGTATGATAGGCTAAGAAAAAATTTTAAGGATAAACATACTACATTAGGACAGAATTCTATGGGTCAAGTGGAATGGAGGTACAAGTTCCAAAAGGAACTGGAACAATTTAAAATTTGAACTTAATTAAAGCTTATTGAGGTACTTTTAATTTAATTTAATTTTTTTAATTTTTAAAATTGTTTTTAGAGAGGAAGGGGAGAGGGAGAGAGAATCTTAAGTAGGCTCCACGCCCAATGTGGGGCTCGATCTCACCACCCTGAGATCATGACCTGGGCAAAAATTCAGAGTCAGATGCTTAACTGACTGTGCCACCCAGGCGCCCCAGGTACTTTTTAAATGGATGATTATGATATTAAATTGCTATGTCATTTAGATTCCATAGGATACACTCAAAAGAGTAATACCTCAGTTTTATCATTAAATATTGTGATTTGTAATGTGTCAATTTATCTAAGATGGAATTTCCTGAATTCCCCTCTCTCTACGTTTCTGAGTTAGGGTTGGCTACAAGAGACCTTTGTGTGAGATATGGAAGACATAAGGGAAAGAGCAGTTGTGCTCAGGAAGTTGATCTAGGGTCCCAGGCTGATTATGGGTTATACACAAAGTGCTGACAGCCAAGAGTGAGACCTGGTTGACAGTTGAGGCCACAGTGGGACCACTGCTCAGTTCAGTGGATGCTCAGCCCTGCCCCTCACAGATGATGCCACCACATCAACCTTCACCTCAGAATCAGGGCTGGGAGGACAGCCCTCCCTGAGCTCCTCTCTGAGGTGGCTGAGAAATTACTGAAATGGCTGAGTCTTCTTGGATGTGACTACCATGAGGAAGAAATGTGAAGTCTGGTTTTGTGAAAATAAGGAAAGTCACATTTTTTGCACATCTTTTGGGGGGGAGAGCATAGGGAAGAAGTTTGTTTTCACAGTTTTGTAGTATTTGAATTGGATCTTCAGATTGTTACGCTAATGTAAGTTTTGCCTATTTAGTGTTCTGTGCTAAATAAAACAAGACAACTGATTTGGAGCGAGATCATTGGATGTATTACATTATATATGACTCCCTGTCTCCACTTAAATTTTAATAGGCTAGCCCATTATTTTTCTCCACAGTGTGCAAGAAATTTATATTCTCACTCAATATTTAAACATGAATGCTCTGGTTTTAATCTAGTGAGTGACCAATATCTCTTTCTTTACCTATTTATGAAGAATTTGGTTGTTATCCTGTTGGAAAGAAAAGCATAATTGCATGTTGGAAAGCATATGGACTTTGGTACTTGAAATATCTAGGTCAGGTATTAGTTCCACATCTTACAGGTTATGTGAGTTGGGGAAAACCTCAGTGTACTCATCTATAAAATAAGAACAGTGACTGCGTCACGGTGCGGTTGTCCTAGATGAGACCGTGGCCATGGAGGGCTGCACTCAGAAAGCATACAGCAAATGACAGGCTGTTACTGATCTTATTTGCACATTTATCTTATTCTGACAACACATTCCCATCAAGTATTGATTTCTGAAATTCCAGAAGTTTCGGTTAGCTTAGGATAAGCATGATTCGTGAGAATTCCAACATTCTCTTCCCCCTGTTCTCCCGAAGAGTGTCTGTCCTTGAGGAACTTAACACTGAATTTGTGTCTAGTTTGATTTTCTCCTATTTGGAAAGAGCGGCTAGTTTGGAGGAGGGCAACGCGGCTAGCCTGCCACACTTTGTAGCCTGAGGTTTCATCTTCTCTGAACATTTTTTTTTTTTTTTTAATTCTGGAAAGGTACGCTTCCCTGTATAAAAGCCTGGTGCAAGGAAGGAAATAAGGCTCAGTGGAAGTAGAATTTGTGAAGTTGAGTGTCATTTGGGAGCATCGCTCTCCCTCTCGCCAAGGCTCGTGCTAAGTAGTCCCGGAGTGTGGATCCAGGGCACAGACCCCGCCTAGTGCACACGTGACCATCTCCATCACCACTTGTTTAGCTTTGACTGGCATTGCTTTTATTCCCTACTCTCTACCCCACCCCGCCACTTCCCTGCAGTAGCACAAACCCTGAGGGGAGATCTCTCTTTTTTCTCGGTATTTCATGTCACTCTGTGGGGTTCTTTGTAGATAATATATCCCCTTGGTGCAAAGTGCTAAAAGCGACTTCTTCATAACGTGTTCGGCGTTACTCCTTTGGATGCAGTGATATGCTTATTCTAGTCATTATGTAAGGATCCCATGGCCCGTCTTTAGTATTTTGTTTTTGATTCTTCTGCAGGGGAACTTAGCTGCAGTGTCCCTTCAAGGTGCTCTGATAATAATCATCTATTACTGCGGTTTCTCGCCTGGCTCTTAGCTGCAAGAGTTGTGCCATCTTTATAAAGATGCCTGTGACGCATCTGCTTCCGCTAGCCTAGCCCCTCAACACACGCACACACGTTTTAGTTTTGTTTTTCTCCTATTTTGAAAGACAGTAAATAATTTTTTTTCCTTTCTTCCTTTGCCCTCTGTTTTGCTAGAGTAGATCTATTCTTTTTTTTTTTTTTTAAGATTTTATTTATTTATTTGACAGAGAGAGACACAGCGAGAGAGGGAACACAAGCAGGGGGAGTGGGAGAGGGAGAAGCAGGCTTCCCGCAGAGCAGGGAGCCTGATGTGGGGCGATCCCAGGACCCTGGAATCAGGACCTGAGCCGAAGGCAGATGCCTAACCGACTCAGTCACCCAGGCGTCCTGAGTAGATCCACTCCTAGTCCTTCAGTTAATCTTAGTCGGATGGAATGACTGCTCACTGTTCTTAACCGACTGCTCACTGTTCTTAACTACTGTTTGGCTTTACTGAAGGCCTTTTCAAAGTTTTGTGATTTTTCAATCACTGTCTGTTCAGAATCACTGAACTTCACTGACTTCAGATGGCTGAAGGCCTCCATGTCATTACTGCTGGGCTCATCTGGAGGACCGTTTTACTCTAGAGAAAACAAGATAAAAAAAGAAAATCTTGAAAACATCTCCCTTTTCATTTGTATTTGGCTGCCTTACTAGCTTCTGTTGCTCTCCTGGGTCTAGATCTCAGGAATCAGGTGTTCCCATAATGAGTGCTGACAGTTGCTTCCCACTTTAATTTTTAAATAATGGAATAATGCATTTCTAAAATCTCTCTGGGGTCAATAAAGTAGCCTGGAATGGCTGAGAGGAAAAGTAATGCTCAAAAAGGTAAGGACTGAAAACAGTTCTAAGAATTTGTCTAAACAGTTATCATTTTTTCCCTACCTAATTAATTTTTTCTTAGTTATCCAGTTTTTTACCCAATAAATTTTTATCATTTTCATTTAAATCTAGCCAGTCAAGTCACAAATACCTGTTGACTTTGAAGACTCTCTGTAATTCCTTTTTATTGTATGTTCCTACAATTCTGGACATTTCCACTTGAATATTATTATTTTTAATGGCTTCTATTATTACTTTTGGTTCTCCTTGTCCTAGGACAATCTCTATCCAAAAAAATGCCATTTCTTTTGAGATCTTTTTTATAAATCCTTTCCTCTTTCTTTGAATTACTGTTCAAAGAAAATTGAATCTGATCATATTCTTCCCAAGATTAAACCCATTTATTGACTCCACATCATCTAGCAGAGCATCCCAACTGGTGTGACCTGAGTAGGTACAGATGTGACAAGATATCGATTCTTTCATTTCCTGGTGTGCATGCATGCGTGTGTGTGTGTGTGTGTGTGTGTGTGTGTATAGCTTGGGGTAGCTAGCCCTCTGGGCCAGTCATTTCTTGCTGGGAGAAAAGTGATTTATTTACCACAGAGTGCCCTATAAATGTTAGCTTTCTCTGTGAGTGCTAAAATATGAAATAGGTTCTGAATCACTGGTGTAAGACAGAATTCAAGGTCCCTCAAAGCTGACCCGACCATTCACTTGGTGAACTGAACATACCCAATTACTCACCACTTCTTGTGTAATTCAGGTTTTCCTTAGGCCTTCTTGAATATTCTTTGGTTTTCCCAAGCTTTTTTGACATATTTCCCCCAATATTTAAGATGTATTTTCTTTGTTTCCTTCCTGGTGATGTAATATTCTTCATTTAAGACCATGTTCACATGCTCTGAGTAGCCATGCTTGGTGTTCTGAGAGACAATTAGCTCTGCTTATTTTTTCTGTGCATGTGATTTACTTTAAAGAGATCATTATCTGCACTTGACTGTTCTGTACATGTTTGGCTCACTTATTAGAACATAAAATCTCTTAGGAAAGGGACCAAGTCTTATTCATCTATGTATCCCTGTGGCCTAACACACAGAATTCTTTCAATAACTGTTTCTTGAATGGATGAATCAATAAAGAATTAGCTATTTAACCTTCATTAAGCTTTAAAATTAAACAATAATGTGCTGAGTCTGGACTATAAATACTTTTGGATCTTGACAAGTCAGTGACCTTGGAACAAGAGGAGATATGAGAGAATTGAAGAATCCAATTAAAGTTATTTAAATGTCTACAAGAATTGGTAACCTACCTAGAGTATAGAATGAACACAGAATTCTATCAGGTGATATGGTTGGAAGAAGTACGTGGATGTCTGTTGAGTCACATGGAAAGACATTAAAATGTTTTAAAGAATTAGCGTATATAAAACCAACCAAAAAGACTCTTAATAGGAACAAAGTCTTCTGTATACTGAAATCTAATGTCACCTGAGTCCTGGTGTTGGGGGTGCTAAACTAGTCACATTTGAAAGGTATGGAATGAGATCTCTTCTTATTCTACCAACTATTAGAAAAAAGCCCCATAAATCCATTAGTGGAATTTAGGTCCTGCTTGCCAGCTGAAAATCCCTCAGCAGTTAGCAAACTCAAATTGTTTGAGATGTTTATTTATTGGAGAAATGCATTGCTAACACTAGGAATTGACTATAGAGAGAGCAGAGGAAGTCAATTCCACAGTTTTAAAACTCTTTTATGAAGTACAGATTAGGATTTTGTAATCATTGGGATAATCTGTGTTTACTTGGTATGTACAATCTTTGTGATTCTTAATATAATCAGACAGATTCTATTAGGTCTGGCAGATTCACCCTGTAAAACCAATTCAAATTTTGAATTGGATAATTAATTTTACACTGTGATTTTAGGTTGAAAGACGTGGGGAGACTTTATTAGATTTGTGTAATAGTTAAGAAAATTTGAGATTCAATAGATACATAGGCTTATTTTATTAGATTTATTAGATTTGTTGGAATAGTTTAAAAACTAGTGAGTGTTTTGTTCATCAGGGTGAATATTTGAAGGGCTTCAAAGGAATGGTAATTATAATGAATTCACGAGTGTAGGTTAAATGTTTAAAGGGCTTTAGTTTAAACTGTAAGTGGGAGCAGATTATTTAAAGGAATTTAGACTACTGAATTTAAGTAGATCAAATAGTAACTGAAAGTCCAATGGAAGATTATTTAACCTTACACACGAGTGAAATTCTGATACATGCTACAATATGGATAAACCTTGAAAACATTATGGTAAATGAAATAAGTCAGACACAAAAAGACAAATACTGTAAGATTCCATCTATATGAGGTACCTAGAATAGGTAAATACACAGAGACAGAAAGTAAATAGGTAAACACAGAGAGACAGAATAGAGGTTACCAGAGGCTGCGGGGAGAGGGAGATGAGGAGTCATTATTTATGGGGACAGAGCTCCTCTTGACATGATGAAAAAGTTCTGGAAATGGATATTGGGGATGGTTACACAACATTGTGAATGTATTTATTGCCACTTAATTGTACACGTAAATATGTTCAAATGGTTAATTTTATATTATGTATATTCTACCACTATAGAAAGAAATAAAAATAATTCCCCAAAAAGTCATTATTAAATGTACTAGATTTATAAATGGAATAGTGAAAGTTCTATGTAGCTTTTAGAGGTTAGGAAAAACCAGGTTTTAAAAATGTCACTTTAAATATTTTATTTATTTATTTGTCAGAGAGAGAGAGAGAGAACAAGCAGGGGGAGCGGCAGGTAGAGGGAGAAGCAGGCCCCCTGCTGAGCAAGGATCCTGATGTGGGACTCGATCCCAGGACCTTGGGATCATGACCTGAGCCAAAGGCAGACGCTTAACTGACTGAGCCACCCAGGCGTCCCAAAAGTGTTGTCACTTTAATAAATTGCACAGTGATTTTAAACCCTGAATCGATATAGAGAGAATCTCCTGTACAGAAAACTTCCCTCATGGACATCAGAAAATGCACAATGACGAAGTCCTAAAGAAACTTTGGCCTTCACCTGTTTTCTTGCATCTTTGTTGTCTCAGAAGGAAAGTACAGTCAGTATGACACGTTGGCTTTAACTTTAGGACTAGTAACTAAAAGTCTTTGTTTTCCTTAAGTAAGAAAAAAAAAACAGATTTAACTTACTTTTCCAAATAAACATGTAGGTGAATAAATAGAAAATGGGGCAAATATAGAACAAAGGAAAAGAAAACAAAACTGAAGTCCAAGCTGTGTGTTTTTTTTTCTCCCACTGTAAAAAAATGGTATGCTCTTCATCATTTTCCCCATAGCCTTCCTGCTCAACACAGGGTTTAAAACGAAGTCCCTGATACAATCTACCTTTTAATTCACTAGTCTTTTCAGAGTCAGCCAGCCAGGGGAGTCCAGATTGCCTTTTGACCTTTGAGAGCATCCAGTATGAAACCAGTGCTGAAGTCAAAGCCTTTGCTTTGGTTGGAAGCCTCTTCCCGGAAGTGACTCCCTCTGCACTTGCTCCTCCTTCTGCCAGGAATGTACAGCTTCCTTTTTATCCTTTCGGTTTCAGCTTCGGGGCTATCTCCTCCACGAGACCTTTGTGGGCCCAGTGGAGGCACTGGCATTTTGTGGAATACCTGCAACGTTCCACTCCCCCTTTGGTGGTGGAACTCCTGCCCGTTTCTACTTCAGGGTCTCCACCCCTGGGAACCCCTTCCCCGACCATACCCTCTGGACTGCTTCTCAGCGCTTCGTGCCTCAAAGGCACTCATCATCCTCTCCTCAATTTGCATGGTCAACTCCCCTCCTCCAAGAAATGACTCGGTGACCCTAGTCCCTTCAACAATGTAGCTGCACCATTTTAAACACATGGCTTCCAAAGCGTCTATGTTTGTCTGTATCTTACAGGTAGAAAGGGGAAGAGCGTGAAGAACCACATATAGAAGTTGTTTAGGGGCCAGGTCTAGAAGTGGGCATATCCCTTTTGCTCACCTTCCACGATCTCGAATTCAATGTCAAGGGACACCCGACTGCAGGAAGGTGGAGAATGCAGTCCAGTTATGTGCCAAGAGAAGAACAAACAAATGGGTCTAGTGAGTAGCTGGCTAGTCTCTGGCACAAACTTGTACATAGCTATAACAAAATTTGTGAAGATGGTCTTCCACGAATAAGGGCTGGGAAATGTTAACAGCTTTGCAGTTGATTGAACTATATGTGGCAAAGAAAGCGGTTCTCTGGATACACTTTTAACTCTTCTTAAAATTAGAGAGAGAGAGCAAGAGCAAGAGCAAATGAGAGAGAGACAGAGAGGGAGAGAGAGAGAGAGAGAGAGAACACGCTCTTGTTTCCTTCTATGAGAAATAAATGTGGACAAAATTAAAAGGCTGGTTAGGTATAATTTAGAATTAATTTACTTTGCACCTCATACAACTCAGAAGAAGAAATACATTCTCTTACTGCTCTCCTACTTTATTTTCATGCTGGCATCCAAGTTAGAGGAATACTCCCAAATACCTCACTTAGTTTCCAGTCCCAAATGTTGCTCCCAGAAGGAACACTAAATTACTTTTTTCTTACTCACTAAAGTACTTAGTAAAAGCACATGAAGATGAGTATTCCTTATGCACCTTTTATTGTTGGTTACTTTTATGACATTTCTTTAAAGGAATTATAAAATCAGGTTTCCTTTAAATATTTGGTCCAAGAATGTAGCTCTTGAGAATATTATGTGCCATTTTGTTATCTAAAAGGGATAAACATCTGTTTTATTGGTTGGCCTTTAAAATGTTTCTGTTTTATTGTCTGATCTTAGTTAAAATGCTTCAGTGTAACAGTGGGAGTATAAGCTATTTACTAGGGATGGCAAGTTAACATTTTAAGGACTAAATGATAAGTCATCTCTCCAAAACTAGCCAGGGTAAGTACTAACTCAAAATTTGTTACCTGTGTCTGCATCAGAAATCTGCTTAATTTGCATAAGGACATTAGAAGTAACTTTTAATTGGTAAAATAAGTGCTGTTCAAGAGATGGAATTGTGTGGCAAAACTCAAGAGATGGGAGAGCCAGAAGAGAAAATTTTCAAGGAGGGAGGAGTCAACAGTAACCAAAGCCATCAATTATAATGAAGCTTGATGAGATCTAAGTGAATTTGACAATTAAGAGGTCATTGCCAGCCTCTGAGTGAGTGTTTTCGGTAATAATGTAGGACAGAAGGCCTGACAGTGAATAGGAGGTGAGAAAGTGAGCACTGTAAGTCTGAACTACTTTGTAGAAAAGTCTGAACATGGAGGAAAGAAGCACGAGAGATGGGAAAGCTAGCTGTCCAGGTGTGGGGGTAAGGTCCGGGTAATTTCTGTTCTTTTTTTTTTTTTTTTAATTTTGTGACTTTATTCATAAGCTAAGGAAAAAGATCCAGCAAGAGGAAGAAACTGGGCAGGAAGAGGGGAGAAAAAGAAAGAGTTATAGATGAGGGGCCTGGGGAGAATGAGAGAGTAAGAGAGACAGTGAGAAGGAATAATTAATGGAAAGAGTGCCTGATTATGTGGGAGGGAATGAAGCCCTCTTTTTCTGTCAGGAAGAAAATAATCATGGGTAAATATAGACAGTCCTGATGGGAGAGAGACTCCAGGAATTTCTAGGGACTCCTGCCTATTTGGCTTTCATTTCCTTTGTGACAGTCTTAGTGGTAGAGTCTTCGTGCTGAGAGTGTTGGGCAGAGGAGGACAAGGGTGCTGGGAATCACATCACCTCTCTGGACTTCATTTCCTCATCCCTGAAGTGAGGGTAGGGAGCTCGAAGACTGCATTTTTAAGGGACCTGGAGAAGGTGCTGACTCGGAATGAGCGAGAAGCGTGCTCACAGGTGACATTGTGAAGATGCATCGGGGCCAGTGGATGCAGCCATGTAGTTCTCTATAGCGTCAGGACAGCTTAGGAACAGATGGAGAGAAAGGAGGGATCAAGGTACTCACTGAGAAGCATTGGGGTAAGGATACTGAATTTAGAATTAAAATGGAGACAGGAAGCCCCATCAGAATGCTGTCAGTTGCTCTTTCCCCAGGGCTCCTAAGTTTTCCAACTAATAATCCAGAACAAAACCATTGCACAGGATCCACATACAATTCTTACAGCCCATTTTTTTTTTTCCTCTCACTGTGCACTTAGGGTGCCAGGAGGGTGTGGATTTTTTTTTTACTTCTGACTCTGCTCCTCCATAATCACATCTGGCTCCCAAATCCCTCATCTTCCATTTTCTATCATCTGGATGACAGATCCCACATTCTTCCTTCTCAACTTAAGGGCATGCCACGCACAGTAGGCTGCTGGGTAACAGTGAGAACCTGGAAGCTCCAACCTCAGCTCCAGCCTGAAACAGGCCTGTAAAGAGATGTGACTGTGCCTTCCAGAGCTCGACTGGCATTTGTGTAGAAGGCTTGCTTTAAGGGGTGAGGCTTATGCTTCACACTCCATCGACTATTAATCTGATGCAGAGAGATTAGGATGATTTCAACAGTTGCTGGTATTTACCATTTGTAAATGAATGTAAAAAATGTGATGCATTTGATTGCACCTTGAGATAATCACCCAGCACAGACATCTTCCATAGAGCTGCAGTGCTAGAGCCCAGAGTGCCTTTGGGATCCCCTCAGAGGTGATTCGAGTTGTTGATGTGAACGGAGCTAGATATTGGCAGAGTTAGGACCGCCTTCATTTAATTTCTAACATCCCGTTTCAAGTGGAAACATGGCACATTAAAACCTGCTCTGGGGTAGTAGGTGTTCTTTGCTTGCTGGTATCAACTTCTTGACAAATAGCCAGTGAAAATTTCTAGGGAATATAAGTGCACAAACCATTTATACTTTATTGTGAATTAATGAGATTTTTTTCTCTCGTGCGGGGAATGGGTAATTTAAATTCTTGTAAGGTCTGAGGAAAGAGATATGAAAGATAACATAAAGATGTCGGGGTGTGTATAACAAATGTATGCATGACAAATACACATTGTTTTCCTATGATGTTCCAGATATTGAACCAGGTCTTGGGATCCTAGGGTAAGTAAGCCATAATCCCCAGCTATAAGCGGGGAATGCAGTTAATTAAACCATAACTTGAGCACAGATTCAGAGATGTGCTTAGGGTCCACTGAGGTATGGGGAAGAAGATGTCCCTGGGAAGAATGTTAAAAAACATGTGTGTGTATGTTGGGGGGGGCACCTGGGTGGTGCAGTCGGTTGAGCATCTGACTCTTGGTTTCGGCTCAGGTCGTGATCTCTGCTCAGGTTGTGAGATTGAGCCCCACGTTGGGCTCCGAGCTGAGTGTGCAGTCTGCTTGAGTTTCTTTCTCCCTCTGCCCCTCCCCCCTACTCTCTCTCTCAAATAAATCTTTAAAAACAAACAAACAAACAAACATGTGGGGGCTGTTGGTTACTTGAAGGGAGGTGACAATGTCTCATTTGGTGACTGATTGCATGTGGGAAGTGAGGGAAGCATGAAGGAGTTGGCCCAAGTTTCTAGCTTGTGTCAGGAGTGGTCATTCATATACATGGAGACAGAAATTAAAGAAGGAAACACTTTCTCCCTCATCTCTGCCAATGGAAATCCCAAACATTCTCTGAGTCCATTTATTCGTACTTACTCATTCAACCCTCACTCATTATCTAATGTATAAAGTGTCCATTATGTCAGGAAATGGGCTAGGTCCTGGGGATATCATGATCAAAGAATTCCAGTTATGTTAAATATTTCCAAGGAAGAGGTACAGTGTGCAATGCAAGCATCTAACAATATATCACAGGTGCCCTCATCTAGCCTGGAGAGAGTGAGAGAAAAATGGCCAAATTTTGGAAGAGATAGTTAAGCTAAGATCTGCAGGATGTATGTAGGTTAGTGAGTCAACAGAGGGAGGAGACCTCTCTGAGAGTTTGGTGGATTTAGGAAAACAGATGCGGCTGGAGATGAGGAGATTAGAAAAGACGGCTGTGGATAGTCCCCAGTTAGGCTGAATTATAAAAGTCCTGATTTAGTGAAATAAGCAACAGTCTAGGCTCTACTTCATGGTGAATTTAGTACTGACTTTGGAGCTGGTTCTAGTAAAAGGGCTTCTCTATCTTCTCCCTGTGGAGAGTTCCTACTTGATTTACTGGTTTGGGTATTTGGGCGTTTATGATATTCTTCTTGAGAGGATACTGTCTTTCTTTTTTTTAGCTTTATTGAGGTATAATTGATTAATAAAACTGTGATATATTTAAAGTTTAATACATGGTGATTTGATATATACATACATTGGGAAAGGATTCTCACTGTTGAGTTAATTAATGAATCCATTAAGGAGACTGTCTTAATAACCCACCCAAGGACTGGAATTCTGTCTCCGATCCATAACACTGTAGCTAGGATCCTATTCTGTGCTCCCTGACCTTTCCATGTGCGGTGCTGTCTGAGGTCACCACCCTGTTGGTTCTAACTTTTTGTTAGTGAGTCTGTTCCCTTGGCCAGATTTTGTAGTTGAATTCATTCTGTGAGTGCATCTACGTTCCAAGTCCCTGTTCCCTCTGTGATATCTTTCCAGGAATTGACAAACTCAAGCTCTTGCTCTGATGTGGTTTAGTGGAGGCTTAATCCATTTCCCTGTATCTTGACCTTCAAAATTACTAAAAATCATCTGATTTTGTTAAAGAGATGCAGGATCGCCATTTGCCAAACATAAATATTTGTAAATGCATCAAGTATCTCACTCAATTCTAAATGTAAGGCAGTATCATTTCATCAAATTTGAGAATCTTGGGGTTTTGAAATCCATTTTTAAAAATGAGTTGCTAGGCCAAGAGAATTTAGCAATATAAATTCAGCAATCATTTCTTTATGGGATGCTTGTGCAAGGCATTTTCTAGGCTCTAGGATTAAATCAGGGAACAAAATAAAGATCCTGACCTCACAGATCATCTATTCTAATAGGAAGATTAGCTAGTAATTCTGTAGCTATTTGATAAAGTCTCCCCATCAAATTAGGGGAGATGCTTCAGGCTCTAAATCTACACTGTGGTGAGGTTAGTTAGGTGCAACCCACCGTATAGTGACCCAAAGAAATTTATCTTGAGAATCAGTAGATTCTTAATGGCTTATTGGACAGATGCTCTGATTCCTTTGAAATGTTAGCTATGACTAAAGCATCATACCTGCATTTCTGTTTCTGACTCAGCCAATTCTCCTGTCCCTCTACTTCAATGTCTATGTGTTGCAAGGCTCACAAGACAATGGACAGTTTTCTTTCTGAGGATCATCCATCCTCTCCTGCTTCCTCTCCTTCCCCTGGTGCCCGACCTTTGGGTCACTCTCCTCTAGGTTTCTGAACACATTACAGAGCCAGGAAGGGATGCTGGGAAGTTAACATCCAAACTACCCAATTGCCCTCCCATTAGCTTCTTTAGAAAAATTCTTAGGAGGAGATAGGGGTTGTGAAAATAAATAAAGGAAACCTCAGTTAAAATGGAACTGAGCTCCGTGCTGAGCAGGCAGTCTGCTTGAGACTCTCACTCTCTCCCTCTGCCCCTCCCCCACTTTCTAAACTAAACAAATAAATAAATCTTTAAAAAAAAAAAGAGGGGTGTCTGGGTGGTACAGCTGGTTAAGCCTCTGACTCCTGGTTTTGGCGCAGGTCCTGATCTCAGGGTCGTGAGATGAAGCCCGAGGGCTCTGTGCTCAGCGGGGACTCTCCTTGAGACTCTCTCTCTCTCTGACCCCACCCCACCCACCCCTCTCTCAAAATAAATAAATCAATAAATCTTTAAAATGGAACAGGAAAGCACTGATAGGGGGAGCTCTCATGCATGTACCAGGCTGTGTAATCAGCAGGAAGAAGGAAGATAAGAATTATCTTGACAAGGAAAGACATTTTTCACATAGGAATTTCATCTTCCACTTTTTTTTAAAGATTTTATTTATTTATTTGAGAGAGAGAAAGCATGAGAGGGGGGAGGGTCAGAGGGAGAAGCAGACTCCCTGCCGAGCAGGGAGCCCGATGTGGGACTCGATCCCGGGACTCCAGGATCATGATCTGAGCCGAAGGCAGTTGCCCAACCAACTGAGCCACCCAGCGCCCCTCATCTTCCACTTTTAAGAAAAAGAAGGAAGATCCCTCCCTGCTCCAGCAATGCACTAACCACACTGAACAGCTAATGAGAAATGCTGCAACTTTGTATGCTTTCTTGTCCTCCAGTGAACTTTTGTTTAAAACAACCCTCCCTAATTTCCTCCTACAACCTATTACCAGCTGACTTTCCCTTTGTCTCTTTGGACTTGCCTGTGGCTCCCCATCATTTGCTTGCCCCAAACTGCAATTCCTCTGCTATTCCCGAAGAAATGAATTTTGCTGATAACTGACTATTTTATTTTTAAGGTTGACAGGGTTATTTATTTCCAATTCACATCACTGCTATGGTAATATCACCTTATGCTATTAAAAGGAATTTATGGGCAGACAGACAAATACATACACACCAGCCTGCAGGAAGCCTCGAGAACAGTAGAGTATGGAATGTTTTTCCAAGAGTCATGCTTCCTTCCAATGAGAAGTTCCCCAAAAGTATACTAGCAAGGGTCAAATGGTTGCGTAAAGAGTCATTTCGAGTTTTCAATGTAATTTATTGAACCTGCATCTGGGGGAGATTCATTTCTTTTTCAAAAACTAACTCTAAGGGTTGTCAATATATTTTTCTCTGACTCTTCAACATGTGCAAACCAGACTGGCCTTTGTGAGACCAAACAGATGTCCCAGGTGTAATTTGCAAACTAATATCAGAAGCAGTCATGCTAGCAACAGGTCCTCGCAAGAAGCCTGGTAATATTTATATAAGTTAATATTATTTTTCAGCATCTTTTGCCTTGCCTACATAGTTCCCTGAATTAAAAACATTCTTTTTTGTAAATGTGACAAGATAGTAACAAGCCTACAAGTTCATTTTCAGCAGCAGATAATTCACAAACAAGATGTCGACAGGTTTTTACGATTACAGATTCCAAATATCCTGGTCTCACAAAAGTGTTCGTAGAGATTGATAGATATTAAAAAAAGAAATAAAAATGAAATGAGAGATATAAATAAGCTTCTTCATTGGAATGAGTGATGGGAAGGTCTGACCCCATCAAACAGCATTCTTCCCTGTTTGAGCTTTTTATTTCATTGTCTTTGACCTGCAATCAGAGGCTTTATAAGGAATATAGTTAGCAGAAGAGGCCAAAAGCTAACTAAGAAGATGGGTGGCTGGAAATAAATGTTTCCTCAAGCATTTTTTACCCTTCAGAGATGTCCATCAGCGGAAATGTTAGTCCTATAGAACCACTTAGGCAGTGCAGAGGAGACAGCCGGTAGCTGTTATTAATTTTTTAAGGCAGGCAGACAGCTTTCAGTCCAAGAACAAGGCTTTACTTTGCATTCTGAATAATGCAGAGATTTTCATTAGTTAGAATAGGAATTGAAATGATAAATGATACATTGTCTGCCAAAATACTGTGACATTACATTATATATTTGCAGTTACCTTTCAGAATCAGCTTTCCAGAAGTATAATTAGACAAATTGAAAAGCTACCAGTATTGCTTTCTTACTGTAGGTTTACATTTTGGAAAAACCAATCAAAAGACACCTCTTTTTTGACTGCGGGTGGGTAATGTCATATCCAAAGGGCAGTTCATTATTGCACCTGAAAGCTAAGTGTTGGCACAAATTGTACTAGTCTATGAGATCACTGCAATTGGTTTCCAGACATTTCCCTTTGCTCGCATCTGCCTTCTGAAGACTCTGGGACAATTTAATTATAACTGCACTTTTGATTTCTACTTCTTTCAATAAAAAATGTAAAATTACATGCACTTGAGAACTATCAGACTAAAAGGTTTGTGATTGCTTTTCCCTGTCGTCTTTCTTCCAGTAGATAATCGTGTCAAGTCAGTCTAGGGCATATTTATTTTGCTTTGGGCACCCACCCAAGACTTTTTCCCACTCTAAGGTTTGTTTGAATTGATGGTAACACAACTACTATATCCGGATGTCTCTTGGTAACTTAATGTATGGCCCTCATCACAAACACTAGAATTAAACCATTAATAGCATAAGCTTCTAGCAGCTGCTTGAATGCCAGTTTGATGAGCATTCAAATAGCTGATTCAGAGATTTCTATAGAGAAACTTAAGCTAATTAAAGACACCAAAGTCGATGGAACTACAATATCTGCCAGTAGCAATATAATCCATATCCACCAACATTATTACTTTAAAAGAAGGCTGATAGAAGTCAAAATCGTTTACCCAATGAAGATGAGCATTTTCTTTTGCGTGTCATTTTGTATTTCCAAGTTTTGCTTAAAATTACAAGCCTCAAGGAAAAGTCCTTTATATATTTATTCTAATAGAGAAAACACTATTGATTAATCTGCCTTTTCTCACACAATAAGGGAGGATGGAGCATGAGCATCATCTGAGAGCCTCCAAGTTTAGTGAGGAGGACAAGAAACAGGCACATTTGGTACCTCCTCAAACTTACTTTATAAGGGATTCAGCTGGGATTTATCAGGCAGTGTATTTTTTTTTTGGAAGTATTTATTCTAATAATTTCCTTTAGGTCTCATGTTTTTGGAGGTGCAGCCTATCTCAGCTGTGAGTTGGAAGCAAGCTGCTGATTTTCTGGGCATTAATTTTGTCAGATTGGGGAGCTACTAATGGAATGCCTGAAAATATACGTTCTGACGATAACCTCATACTGGGAAATGCTGTCAATGCAACGGCACTTTTGAAATGTCAGAAACTTTCTGGTTCATCTAGTATTTAAAAAATAAAATATCCCTAAGCCAGCATAAAAGATAGAATGCAGTATGTTCACACATTTTCACTACCTAAGAGTTTAATCTCAGGGTCCCATATTTCTTCCAGCTGGTTAAATAAATCCTCATTGTCAACTGGACTCCAGGTCATGTACTGTGACTGCATCTATTTGGTGGGAAGCATTCATCAAACCCCTTTGGAGTTTGTGTTCTAGAAAGAAGTTATCATGGCTAGCTGGACACTCATCCTCATTTTTTTAAAGGGTCAACTTTATAACCCAGACAGTAATTGCAGTGGTATAACTGAACCTTTGAGATGGCTGGGTGTGATTTGTTTATCTAATAATGATTTATTTTTTAAAAATAAACTAAAATTTTCTTTGGTATCACATGAGCTCATAACAGTTGCACCAAGATGTGCCTTATACATCAGCAGGCACTCAATAAATGCCAGGCTTTGGCATAGGTTGCTAAATCTCTGCCCACATAACTTCAGGTCCTATCTGTCTTTTATTTCTTTGGTAGTATTCTGCTCAAACATGACTACTTAGCTTTTTAGCATCTCATTAGTTATTTTACAGCATTTAAAAAAAATTTTTTTTTACATCTCACCTGGAAGGTTGTCATTTTTAGTTTTGTGGAGCATTTTATGTAATTTACATTCATATAATTGTTGCTATGATGTACTGTATTGATGTCATTGCTATTAGTCAGATTTCGAAATTCTGCACTAGCATACGTAAGATTGATCATGGATAAAACAATCCCTGATTATCTATTCAACATTATGTTTAGATCTCTGAAGAGAAGTTACTAAGACATGGTATGACAGCAATCTGTAGACTTCCACATCTCTGGGCATCCACACACACAGCCGGGACTGAGAGTTTCAATCCTTAATGCCATCTTCTTTGTATGCAGTTCCGTTTGCAAACGTTTGATTGTAACTTTACCATGTTGCATTCAGTCATTTTAAATTCCAACTATGAAAGCTTTCATAGCCCTGTAATGATTAGCTTTGGAAGCTATATCTCATCCGAAATAAACCCACAGGTAGCTATAATAGTACTTACAGGTGTCTTCTTCTTCCATGAAAATACTGATCACATAACAGGCATACACAAAACCAACCAACTGCAAAGGAGAAAAAAAATACTTTAAGAATTGATGTCAAATGTCCAGAATTGAAAAGCCTATATAATCCAATAAATAAAGATAAAGAATACATAGTAATGAAGTCTATGAATCTTAATAGGAAAAAAAATCTTTTTTTTTAAATAATAGCTGTGATTTTAAAGTAAGCCTCTCTATTACTACTTAGCTGCAATAGCTTTCTAAAAGAGTACACAGGAATGGGAAACATTTTCTAGATATCTGACTTAGATTTTGACTTGGGATTTACAGTTCTCATGCTTTAAAGTCGCCTCAGGTTATTCAGAACATATATTTTTAAGTTTGGACTATTTAGAGAGAAATTTATAGCAACACTCATTATTACTACAACTATTTTAATATTTAATAGCTATAAAAGGAATCAAAATATGTTAATTGTAAATTACATACCAATCATCTACTTAATTATTTGAAATGTTCTGAGAAAATAAATTCTATTTAAATACTAAATTGTTCTGTTAATTATATCATAAGAAAACGCATTAACTTTGAGGTCATTAATCATATCATGACATTGAAGAGATCATTTATACTTTGGATACTAGTGGTTAAATAAATACAGGTGCCAGAGTGTAGTCTTTCTAGCGTTTCATATTGTTTTCTGTACTTATTATACTGAGAAGGCAATTCTTATTTTACGGAGCCGGAGACACCGCAATTCCTGGAGGACCAAATTGTCAATGCATCTCATCTAGTCTAAAATTACCCTGAGTACTTTGATGAAAAATAGATACCTAAATAGTGATTATACAGTCTGTGTTCTTACTTTTCTCTCTGTTGTTAAAGTCTCTCCCCTCCTCCCCCTTATAAAATAACATTTGGAAAGGAAACTTTTTCGATAGTCCTAGTGTCAAAGACTGAAGTTCCCAGTGCAGACAACAATCTATCTAGGGTTTGTGCCTAGCCTGCAGATTAAGAACCTGAATTTGGAATTCACTTCCAGACTGTTTAAACTGGGCAGGTTCAGGTGCTAGCTCTTCTTCACTTGCTGAGACCAATTTCCTCTCACTCTTTCAGGAAAATGCAGAGGGACTGGTGAGCTAAGAGGGCTAGAAACCATAGATGTTCAAACCAAGGAAGAGATGACCAAAGAGTATCTGTTGCTGCTTGATGGTCCCTGCACCAACAAGACTATTGGAATGTTGTTTTTCCAGTTTGCTCATCACCTCATAGGAACTGTGGTTAAGTGTGTTCATTTCCTTGTAGAAGATGTCCCTCAACTTGGAGATGTTTTGGAAGATGGTCACAGCCAATAAGACTATTATAAAGAATAGGCAGTTCCTTTAGCGGTTCCTGGTTCAGATCTTTAAACACAGTCTGGGCTTTGATGAACTCTTCCTCAGCCTTGGCCATACTGCCCTCATCTTTCTTCTTGGCATATGGCATCACCTCCAGGGGGTGCTGGGCACTGTCACTGTTCATGAGTTTCCAACCCATTTAGCGATTCTTTCCTTCATATCGCTGAATGGGGCTACATAGTTTTCCATCGTCCTCAAAGCCTGGTCAGCTCATTTCTCTTTGTAGTATTCCCGAAGGAGGTCATTATTCCCTACAGTGGTCATGGGATTCTCTTGACGGTCCCACTCACTGCTGTAGATCTCCTGTAGGCTTTCTGACATTTGCTTTGAGCTTTCATGCATCACTTTCACTGCACTAAAGGTGTTCTTCGTGTCCTTATATAACTTGTGACCTTCTGCTAGATTACTGGTTTATATATAAAAGGATATAATTCAGGAATGGCCAGGTGGAAGTGACGCATAGGGCAAGTTGTGGGGAAAAAGTGCAGAGCTTCCTTGGCCTCTCGAGTGCACCACTTTTCCCAAATCCCTAAGTGTTCGCCAACCTGGAAGTTTCCACAGATGTTCTTTTATGGAGATAAAAGAGCAAGCTCACCTGAATAATTTTTTCCGAAATATATTTTTTTTACTTAAGTTTTATTATCTTATATTTCTTCCTTAGTTTTAGGGCTATGGATTATGCTAAAAATATTGGGTTAACTGTGTTTTCTGGAGAGATTTACTGTCTATGTACTGAAGAGAACTGGCCAATATATTTACTTCTTTTCCAAATGAGTCTTTTGACTGATGGAAAGTAAGATCAGGGTCTTAATTATAGTTACAGCTCAATATCTTTCCTCATTCAGTGAAATTTTTGTTACTGATGAAATGGGAGATACCCAGTTTTAAAAGAACAGATGAATGTATAGCAACAGAAAAATTGTCAAATTCAATTATTCACTAATGGAGCTTAATAATATTTTGATAGATGACAAGAAAGGAATTTTGGCTAGGTAATTGAAATATACGGTACCATTAGCTGGAAACAGTAAGATAAAGACATGCCATACTAGAAATATTAGCTCATTCTCTAGGCCCTCAAACAGAAATTGCCAGCCTTAATCTCAATATTATCACAAATGAATTAATTAACATATATCCTTTTACTTTTGCTTTATTGATGGGCACACTAATAAAATATTTATTCCAAAAATTACTTTTGCTATCGTGATTAACCAAACTGCTGCTTAATTAATAATGTTATTCTCATGGGAACCTGTCTAGACATCATGTTAATCACCAATTTGTTGATGGCTGAGTGTTGTGTAGTTCTTGGTTTCCCATAATATGAGTTGAAATAGTCCCTGTGGCTTTCTGCTTATCTCCAAGAGATGGAATAACATGCAAAGTAAATAATACCAGGATAGTCCAATTGTGTCTGCTTTTAATAAAGTTTTGAAGGAGTCAGTAATTTTCAAGACACTTCTCTTCCATTAAACCCATCCATCTCTATATAGAACATTTAAATGATTTTCTCCTGTGTACTGTAAATTCTGACCACATAAATTCCATCTTTTTTGATATAGTAAATGAATGCAAATGACATAAGACTAGATTCCAACTGGTCTTGTGTAAGAGATTGAGTAGTTTTTGCAAGTAGGATTTGTCCAGGCGATTGATTGGTTTTGGCCTGCAGGCCCTGTATAAGGATTGGCAGGATTTGGTTTCACACACGTAGAAATTAGGACGACAGCCACTGGCTGTGTGTCCTGCTAGTTGTGGATCTTAGTAAGAATGAATCAGAGATATGAGCTGTCTCTAAAAGCATGAGCATCTTAAGGGATCACTTTCAGGTGCAACGGATGGATGAAAAACCTCATCTAAGGAACTCAGAAGAGCTTGTACAGACCCTGACTTAGGGTGAAAGAATCAGTGGCTTTGAGGGAAGCTAAAAGGATCCTTGATCAAAAATAACTCCCCAACTACCTTCCTAAATTTCCCATGATTCACATCAAGATTTAAGCATTAAAGTTTAAGAGATTCCTTAAGGAATGCCAGAAGTTTCTCTGCATAGTACCAGGCTCTAAAATGTTCTTTGTTAGTCTATTTTTCCTCAAATCCAAAATGATTCTATAAAGGTCTTGGCCAAAGCCATCAATAGGAGGCAGGGAGAACCTGACACACTTCATTCTGTGCAGAGCGTTATCCTTATGAAAGTCATTAAGTCGAGTGTTTGCAAGCAGAAACCTTCTATATATAATTTATTTGGGTTAAGGTGTTAAGTTGCTTAAAAAAGAAAGCATAGCTACCTAATATCAAGAACTGTGCAGGGTTTGGGATTTTATTCTATAAGCTAACAAGTTAGCCTGTTACTGTTTCATGGATGCTCGGTCAGAGACAAAGTGCTCAGCAGCCAGCATGAGCTTCATATCTCTGATGCATTCCCCTTGGGCCATGATGGACCCCTGCATATATAACGGGTTCCATTACAGGTGAGGAGCATTGAGCTACTTTTACAGCAAGGGGAAGGAAGCCTACTCTTTGTTGGGGTGGGATGGGGGAGCAGTTACCTCATTCCTAAAGGTTGTTTGCTGAAAACACAATCCTGAGAAATTGATCAGGTAAATAAAGAGTGATTATTAACTTGGGGGTTATCAGCATATCTATAGATGGTATTTAAAGCTATATGACTGGATTAGAACACTAAGGAAATGAGTGAAGTTAGAGAAGGGAGTTAAAGGATGAAGTTCTGGAACATTTTGAGATTTAGAGTTTGGGGAGAAGTCAAGAAGCCATAAAGAAGCCAAGCCTTTTCAGTGACTTAAGAATTCAGTCAGTACAGTGACATAAGAAAGCAAGGGTGGGGCACCTGGGTGACTCAGTTAAGTGTCCAACTCTTGATTTCAGCTCAGGTCAGGAGATTGAGCCCTGCATCGGGCTCTACACTGGGTGTGCAGCCTCCTTAAGATTCTCTCTTTTCCCTCTCCCTCTCCCCCCCTTACCCCCCAAAGAAACCAAGGGCAATCAACCATGCCAAAGGTCTCTGGTAGGTCAAGGACAATGAACACTGAGCCTTGACCACTGGATTGGGTAGTGTGGAGCACATGGGTGACCTTGATGAGAGTTGTTCTGGTGGAAAATGGGGCAAAAATGTGACCAGAGTGGGTTCAAGAGAAAATAGGATATCAACAATTCTTTCAAGGAGTCTTGGAAAAGGAGAATAGAGAAAGGAACAGTAGCTGGAGAAAGACGTGAGGTCAATGCAGTTTTTTTTGTTTGTTTTAGTTTTAGTTTTTTATTTATTTTTTTAAGGTGGACATTAATACAGCACATTTGTATTCCAAGAGGAATAAGCTTTTCCTTAAATCACGATTCACAATTTGGGGTAATGGAGAACAAAGATTATTTGTCTGTCCAAGCACACATCACTTTTATCTGCTTCCAAGCTCTCAACTTGGCTTTCAAGGCTTATCCCCCACTATTCTCTGCCACGAGCTGTGCTCCAACTCCCTGGGCACATCCCATTCTTTGCTTGCTCACATCCCCCTAACCTGGTCTCACATCCCTGCTTACACAGACCCTCTCATCTTTTAATCCCTGTTGCAAATGTCACTTTCTTTGGTCTCCCCAGTGGATACACCTCTAGTCTGAACTGTCTCAGTACTTTGTTCTTTTATCTCTAAT